GCATGTAGCAATCTCGGGCAGTGTAGGGACAGCAATTTACTTAGAAACTTGGAGTGAAACAAGGAACGACATTGGGAAGGGAATGAACGTCGTTAGGCTGCGAAGGAGACGAGTCGAGCGGAAAGCTGAAAGGAGGAGGAGGTTTGGCGCGAAGTGGAAGCAGACACAGACGAAGATGACTTTGCGCTCCCCTGCCGAAGTCTTTCCTTCCTTAACTGGGTACATGAGAATCGTCTCCCTTATCCATAAGACCCCGCGGGCTCGTTTGCCCATTCCACGACCAAATCTAAGCCGGGACATGCGAGAACGAAAACACGCCCTGTGGGTGATTCAAAAACGGGGCATCAGGGCTAGGCTGATACGACAAGTACGAATTCTGCGCGTCACGAACAATACAATGGTCAGAATAAAACGTCTCCTCAAAGACGAGCTTGAACAGCAAGGCGCGCGCCGTTGCGAAAGACGTACTCGGCCGTCTGCGTGATGATGCCGTCGACGGCGTTGGCGAACCCGTGGTCGATGCGGAAGTCGTTGAAGGAGAAGTCTGGGTTCTGGCCCAGCCCGCATACCAGGTTGCCTTGGGTGTGCCGCCCGAAATGTTTGTATCTGAGTGTCCATGCTAGTTTGGTACCTGCTTGGAAGAGGACTGCGGCGGCGTAGCGCAGGCCTTGGTCCAGGGTGACTTCGGTCAGCCGCTTTAGGTAGGGGCTCGAGCCGATGGTGCGTTTTGAGAGCAGAGCTTTGTGCTCGTGGGCGTCATTTGGGCTTTGAAGAGGCACGTCGATTGATCGCACGATCAAGAGACTGTCAAGTGACGCTTCTTCCGCGTCGCTGAGACGGGAGATTTGTTCGACTTTTCGGGCGGGTGCCGCTCCTGTGAGCCGGAACACCATTGCAAGAAGCATGATCAATAGTGCCACCATATTCCCACGCGGGACTCCGAGATAAGACTCAATCCATGACATTCCCTGAGTGGGTGACTCTCCCTACGTAGCAGGTGTTTCTTTGAGGCGGACCGATGGTTGGGACTAGACACAGAGGATTCTGTCGATAGTCCTCTCACACACCTCCTTTTCTTTGCGCGATACCAGAGATGATGGCCGGCCGCGAATTCAAGAGTCAATTCCATCTTCATGACACGCTGCGGTTGTAGAGTCTATGGCGACATTTTTCGGTGTGACCCTTGGTAGCGGCAAGTGCCTTCGACGCCTGCAAATGGACTGAAATTCGAGCTCGCCGTATCGTCGAAGAAGACGGCAACAAAAACTCGATGCTCTTGCGTGCTCCAACAAATAAATGGCGGGGGCTTTTTCGCGCGTGTATTTCCAGATCGGGACTCGCGTTGCCATTGGAAGTGGTCCGGTCAATATACTGTTTAATGTAACGCAGTTCTTCTAGCCTGAATCATCAAGCAGTGCAAGAGTCTAGTTCGAGTTGACAGAGGTATGTCCACTATTTGTTACGCGCTTGCAACAACTCGTTGTCTGTCTCTGCGGCTTGACTGCTGGTGAAGACCTCTCAGTTTTCCGGTAGCCAAATGAGATGCATTGAACAGCAGTCCATACATGCTCCATCTTTCTCTCCCTTGAATGATTCTCTTACTTCTCTTATCCTGAGACCCGACGCCTTGAAAAGGCGATCGCACAGCTCGAATCGACACGCGGAGAGAGCAACTTGAAATGTTGATTGACTATGGATTGTGAGCATGAATGGCCGTAATGTCAAAACCCCCTTTCCTTCCCCGACTCACTCATGATGCTCTCCATCATCGACCAACCCGAAAACCCAAAGACTTGCCCAGAGAACACCCACAAACCCCTTATGCACGCGAGAACCTCTCAAAAAATCAAGTGTTTTTCCATCTGCTCGAGCAAGAGCACCGTCAACCCATCTCATGCTGAATCGCTCGTCACATCCTGTCAGTTTTTGGAACTCGACCCACATCGGCTTTCGTCCCCAAATCACCATTTCTACCTCTTGCCGGCAATGTCCCTGACCTCCCTCACGCCATCAAGACTACTCCGCACACTGACACTCGAGCTGCGCCTCCGCGCACGCCTCGTCTCGTTCGGATCGTGCGGGCTCAGTCCACTGGCTCGCGCGTACAGGTTGAGCACGTCCGTCAGACTGATGACACCCGTCAGGTGGCCCGAGAGACTGGCGCCGGGCAGCGCTGCTGCCGATATGGACAGCATAGGAAGTGGTGACGGGGTCGAAATTGAAGGATGCGAATGGTACGCATGGTGTGGGCCATGTGGATAAGGAGGCGTCGCCGAGGGAGGGCCAGCGTGGACATCAGGGGCTGCTGGCGAAGGAATGTCAATGGCTGGGGTGGAGGAGGATGAACTTGGTGGCGAGAGGACGCCTGATGAGGGGGGCGAGAAGGCTGGCTGGGCAGGCGTTGCGGCAGGCGTTGGAGGACCCGACGAAGCGGGCGACGGAGGTGTTGTTATCCACATTCTGAACCTGTTTAGCTTGGCAGATCCGCCTGGTGAGGCAGGGGGACAAACCTGTGGGATTTTGTCGCCACGAGTTTTGCAACAGTGTGCGCAAGGGTGGATTGTGGTGTGACGTGAAAGACAGGGAATGAGTCTTTTCCATCATTCATACCCCGCTCCGAAAGGATGACCGAGATGAAGTGGATGCACGAGGAGCGGAGAAGCGGTAGAGCAGTCGTTTTTGTCAGAAGCTGCACAGCGCATTAGCAGGCATCACACGGGTCTAGGAGCCAAATCACCTTGACGTCGACGTGAGAAATGTTTCCCACGACATTCATATGGTTGTCGACGACCGGAAGAGACGTGATGCCTTCGTTGTGCATGATTTCGAGGGCTTCTGTGACTGGCCGATCACCGCTAGAAACTGCATAAGCGGAATTCAGTCAATCTCCCCTTGGCACTCACTTGATTGAGACGACGGATTGCGATCCAATGTTGAGCTCCCTCAGCGTCTGCGGGTAGAGGTGGTCAACGGCAGGGAAATTTCTGCCATTCATCCAGAAGAATCCGACGAGGCGCAATTGGCTCAGGACGCCAATAACCTCCTGGCTATGTTCCTTGACAATAATGATGCGGTGAATTCCGCTGCCAAAAATCTCGACGGCCTTGGTCAGATTGGCGGTATGAGGAAGGGTAATAAGCGGCTCCTTCTTGCCCAGGTCCTTAACATCTCTCAGAGGCACCGGCTTGCCTTCCCTGCCCTTTTGTGCGAGTTCATTGAAGGAAGACTCGGAAGCTTCTGGACGGGCGAGGCCAACAACGAGGAGGAGATAGGCATTCAGGTCACTGTAATCAAAGGTGCCAATGGCGGCATGGGAGTCTTTATTTTCGCGGATGAGGACGACATTTGGGGAACCGGAAGAAATGAGGACCTAGAGGTTACAATTAGATGGAGACGCTCTCGAGCTAGGAAAGGTTGCGGGGGCCCGCAAAAGAGACTCACGTTGGTCGCCTCCTCGACGCTGGCATCAATGTCGACGAAGCGGACCAGGTCGGGGTCGATAACTTCGCCTACACGGATGGACCTCCAGTCGCGGCCGGCAAAGGCATTGTTCTGGGCATGTTTACCAATGGGAGGGTTGGCTAGCAATTCTTGCAGGGCCTGTTGAGAGAGCGAGGGCTGGCGCGAGGCGCGCGGGGAGTTGGGCATGCCACGAAGGTTTTCGACGAAGCTCTGACGCTGCGAGACGCTGGGGCTTGAGGACGAGGAAGAAGGCGGGAGCTGCGGCGAGCGAGGCCCTGGGTGAACCATGATTTCTTGACCAGGGAGAAAATGATTTGGGGCAGACGTGGTGAAATGGATCGATGGTGGTTGGCTTCGGGCGGCGGTGACGATGGTGGACAATGCGAGGGGTCGACGTCAGTGCGGAGCGGGGCGCTGGGCGGTCGGTTAGGGTCAGGTAGGACTGGAGGAGTAGCTGAGGTCCGCGGGGATGATGGATTTGGCAAGATGGAGAAGCGCAGAGGGCTGATGCGAGCAGACGTCTTGTCGCGATGGATGTCGAGGTGAGGGGATATTTGGTGTCTCTGGGCTGTGGCTGAGGTGGGTTGATGCTTGACTCTGACCGCCTGCAGCCCAGCGGCGGCCCCTTATCGCCCTTCTTATCGCCCGCCCTGGTACTGTATTGTGATGCGCCGCTGTGTTGCGCTGCTCTGCTGGCTTTCACACCACCGCATCCAAACAGGTCATTGTCATCTGCATACTGTTCACTATCTGCCCGCAAACGCTCCAAATTCTCCACTTCTCCATCATCACTTCTGCCCTTCCAAATCTTTTTCCGATGGCGCCCGTCCCGTCCGATCCATCGTGCAGCATTCCGCATCCTTTAGGCGGCCAGCACAGCGCTCCATCACTGTCCTTGCCTTCTGATCCTATCCGACTACTCCGCACGTCCTCTGACAGGAGCTCGTTGTCTCAAAAGCTCCTCGCAACTGCATGGTGCCAGTCTGTCAATTCGCTTGGCCCTCGAGTCGCCTGAGCGAGGAATAAAAGCTCGACACCGCCACCGGACTTGACGTCAATGCCTTGGTTCCATCAACCATCACTCCTCCGTCGACCGTTTCTGCTCCTCTCGACCTTTCTGCGGGCGTACTTGGCCAAGATTTCTCGAGTCCCGCTGCTAGTTGACAGACCCCAGGAGTGACCCCTATTACGGAACCAAACCAACTCACATTGAGCCCCATCCCCGAGGCGAATCGCAGACGACGAGATGCTTTTGGAGATGCCGGGTGAACTTCGGGAGTTGCGGCACTGCTTCAAAATTCTCCCGAAAGTCTTCCCGGAGCTCCCCCCTCGCCCCAACCACTTGGAAAGATATGGTGTACCTCCTACTTTCTTTCCATCAATCAAGCAGAGTTGGTGTAGTTTACCTTCTTGTCATTCATTCCTGCACAAATTCCACCAACTGCAGCGAAATGGCCAACAAGAAGCCCAACTTTTCCCCAGCTCCTCTGACCACAACATCTATAACGCAGCATGCATCTATCGATCACAACACGCTTGCGGGGTTGGTGTAGTTGGTCATCACGTCAGTCTAACAGAGTATTCTTGAGCAATCGGAAGTCTCCTGTAGAGCACTGAAGGTCGCGAGTTCAAGTCTCGCATCCCGTAATTTTTGCCCCTTGTTTCCACAGTTCCCCATGGGCACAACCGACTTGTGGGTAAGCAAGTGCATTCATTCTTTTTGCTCCATTCTGCAGTCCGCAGGTGGCATACGCTGCATTATTGCTGTTTGCAGGTGAATTCAGTCAGCTGTCAAAGGGGAAGGAAATCCCGGATTCCCCCTTCAGCTGCATTATTGCTGTTTGCAGGTGAATTCAGTCAGCTGTCAAAGGGGAAGGAAATCCCGGATTCCCCCTTCAGCTGCATTTTTTGCTGTCAGCCTGCCATTGATTTGCTAATATGCGTTGAAAAAAAAACCCCCCAGCTATCAAGAACTCGCCCATGTCACATTCTGTTACTATTTGCGACTAATCACTTGTTAACGACCAACCAGGCCCGTCAGCTATCGATGCGGGAATGTGGATTAAGACTGTTCAGGGCCCACAATTCAACTCTGCTCCTGTTGTCTCCGTGGTCAAACCCCGATCGATTCTTTGTCTTTAGTCTAATGCCAACGCAGTCTACATCTGGATCAAACTCAGTCACCTCATCAGACTTACTGGATTTTTCACCTCGAGAAAAAAGCATCAGTCTTTCAATCCCATACCCTCTTATACTGTCTCCACCTTCGTTGCGGTTATGAGGGAGCCTTCTCTCGTCTAGTCTCAAGACCAAGAGCGCGCCGCCATCAATGGGCAGTCATCTCCTGCTCTTCTGTTAAACTACCCAGGGAAAACCAGCATACATCCCATTTTCTGCTCATTGCGGTTAAGTCTCTGGTAGACTCACAGTGGACAGGTGATGCGCCCGGTGTAGATACGGGTACTTCGAGCTCTTCCGCATTGTCCCCGAGGACGACGCCAATTCTCTCGCCATTTTTTCCAACCCGCGAAGAAAGAATTAGAGTTGTTAGTAACCTTCAGGTTAAGATTCGGGTAGCCACGCGAGATGCACAAGGTCTGAAACATCAAGCTCATCTAGCCGCATCCACAAATGCTGGGATCATAGCTCTATAACCCGTCACTTCGACGACAAAATCCAGCTATTTACGTGGCGTTCGCATGTATATGAAATAAACGTGACCACAAACAACGCTATCGTAGGAGCAACTTCTCTAGGTCAATGTTTCTAGTCAGGTACGCCAGAATGTTTGCATGTCGATCAGCAGAAGTAACTGGATAGGGAAACTGGGGCTCATGCTAGAGACCCTGAAATATGTCGTCAGGGACAAGTTGATATAGGCAAACAAGTTCCTGACCTGGATATGGGAGACGAATCGTTCCGACATTCCTTTGCTAACCCGTCATGGTTTCCACGCTCCTTTTAGCACAACTGCTCTTCGCATTTGTTGCAGCAGTCGCCGGCGCCGCTACGCAAGAAGATTGGGATACTCTGAACAAAACAGTCGAAGGTCGTCTTTTCCGCAGCTATCCCCTGGCGAAACCATGCTTCAGCACATATGATGGCGCGGCGTCACCTCCAGACAGAGCTCTATGCGACTTGGTCATCAAGGGTTGGAAAAGCGACCTTGCGCTGGTGACACAGTACGCCGGCTTCATGAATGTAAGGCAAGATGCCACTTGTCAGTCCTATCATCGCTAATGGAGAGGCAGACGAATTGGGTCGCACGTCAGAAAAACGCTTCCTCCTGCGACCTCGACTTCATCAACCCCAACGACCCGGCCAACTTTGCGCCGCCACGCGACTGCCATCAGGGTAGCGTCTCGCCGTACTACATAGATGTGCGCAAAGTGTCAGACATACAAGCCGCCTTTAGCTTTTCGCGCAACACCAAAACGATCCTCTCGCTCAAAAATACTTGCCACGACTACAAGGGTCGCAGCTCTGCACCCAATTCGCTCGCCCTCTGGCTCACCAACCTGAAGCCGCCAATGAAGTTGGAGAAGAATTTTCAGCCAGAGGGGTGTCCTAGTTCCGCGGGAGATGGAATCACCATGGGCGGTGGGCAGGGCATGCGCGCCCTATACAAATTTGCAGAAGGCAACGGGGTGACAGTTCCGGGGGGCACATCGCGACGGTGGGTGTGGCTGGAGGATCGATCAGTGGAGGCGGGCATAGATTTGCCACCAACACCTTGGGGCTCGGCGTCGACAACGTGCTTCAAATCTGGGCGGGACTACCGGATGGCCGGTACGTCACTGCAAACGAGTGTCAGAATCAAGACATCTTTTTCGCATTGCGAGGCGGGGGTGGCGGTACATTTGGCGTCAATGTTGAATCGAAGTGATGATGAAGGTATATCCAAAGATTTCCTTTCCAGTTTGTCCAACCACATAAAAGGTACGTGGTCACGACTCTCACAGTTGACAGGTCGCCAACTTTGCTCACACGTCTTCCGACCCCGGAGACCTTCGCAAATTCCTCCAGCTAATCGCAACAAGTGGGCAGATAGCGGTTGGGGCGGCTACATCACGCCTAGCATAGGAGGCGACTCAGCGTCAGCCCTGACGCTGCTAACACCCAAACTAGATCACACGGCCGCCGTCCAGGACATAAAGCCCGTGCTCGACTTCACAGCCACTCCAGGTATCAAACCAGTCGTCATGTCCAACAACACGGCCAACACGTACTGGGAAGCCTACTCCAAATACCTGGGCTACGGCGAAGGCGAGAAAGTCGGCCTGCCCACCGCCATCGGCAGCCGCTTGATCCCGCGAATCACCTTCGAAGACAAAAGCAAGAAAGACGCGCTGGTCGACCTGCTCCAAGACCTGGTGAGCAAATTCAACGCGCCCAGAGGCGACCCCAACGCCGCAGCCTACGGGGCCCGGATCTAAATCTTCGCCGTCGCGCCCACAAACTACCAGCTGCCGGGCGGGCGCGACTCGAGCAGCGTGACGCCCGCCTGGTGCAACGCGACGTGGGAGGTGTTTGTCAATTCGGTCCCGAACCACGCCAACGAGACGACGCCGCTGGATACGCGGCAGGCGTCTGCCGACGCGCATGAGGCGGCCGAGCGCCTGGCTGCGCTGACGCCCGGGAGCGGCGTCTATCAGAATGAGGCCGACACTTTTCAGACGGATTCTGAAGAGGCGTTTTGGGGGAGGGAGAATTATGAAAAGTTGTATCAGATCAAGAGGAGGGTGGATCCGGATAATGTTCTCACTTGCCATCAGTGCATTGGCTGGCAGCCGGATGATGAGAGATATTCTTGCTACCCTGATTTTTCGTGACTTGGGTAGGCCCCTTTATTCTCTCTTCTTAAAAGCGCAGTGTTTTTCTTCCAATTTGCCCGTCTGAAGTGTTCACCTCTTTCCTCTCCCGTCATGCTGAGGCGTTCTTTCCCGCCTTTGCTCAATTTGTGTATGTCCCGCGAATTGGTCGACAAGCTGGGTATGTGACAATCCACCAAATTTCTATTTGCTGTACATGTTTCTTGCTTGCTCTTCTCCTTCCCCTTGTACGAATGCGGCGGATGTAGGGGTTGAATTTACTTGAACAGTTTCAACTTGTCATAGATGAGCTCCCTGCTAGATATCAGACGTTGAAGTGACTTGCCGATCAGGGTTCGGAACTGTTAGTAGAGTAGGAAGAAAGTCAAAAGAGCACAGGAAGAAATTCTAGTTGGTGGCCGTCAGGCAGACGTAATGGATCATTTCTTCTCTACCTCTAGGGACTATCAGATCCTCGACCCACACCCCCGCGACTCGCAGACTGCCTTCAGTTACCTAGATCAGCGACGCACTGTATTTGTCAAGCATCATCGTAGCCGTCTTTTATTCACATCTAGCTTTTCTCTTGCACCCAGCACAACAGCAAAACATTCAACACAACGACGTCAAAACTGAATCCCTCCCCTCCCTTCAATCCACCAAGCCTATATAGATTCCCCCTATTCCTAACTCACAGAGATGCGAAAAAAGAGTGCCTGATAGAGGCGCACAAAAAGAACAAAACAAAAGGACTGGACACTGTGGGAATTGAACCCACGACCTTTCACATACCCAACATGGGAACTGTTGCGAAGCGAAAATCATACCCCTAGACCAAGTGCCCTGGTCGTTGAAACATAATTGCTTTATTTTTATTATATATTGTGTTATTAAATTGCTGCTATAATTGATTAATTGATTGATTGATTGATTGATTAATTATTTTATATCTTACTAGAGCTATAGGCTATCTAAGACGGAGCTATCTATAGAGGATACTATATATATTTATAAGGTAAGTAGGGATACCTAGCTAAAGAATCTTATATAATAAAGTATAATTCTTAGTATAATATTAGTATAGGGTTATTATAGATAGATAGTTTATCTAGACTCTTTTTAGGTAAGAGGGGGCTAAGAACTAGCCTTCCTACTATTATCTAAGTAGATAGGTAGTATAAAGTAAGAGTAAGAAAAGAAAGGGGGATAGGAAGAAGGTATATATAAAAAAGTAAATATAGTATAGGGTAGTAGGTAAGGTAGATTATATATATACTCTACTTATAGCATTCTAGTACTATCCCTAATAGTACTATTTTTTAGTTAGTATTATATAACACCTTTCTTAGCACCTATAAAGGTAAAAAAGGTAGGTATAGTTTTTAACTAGTAGCATATATCTTCTAGCTAACTAGTATAGTTAGCTAATACTTATTATAGAAAATAAATAATACTAAAGAACCTAGGTTTAATCTATATTAATATTACTTATAATTTAATCTAGCCCTATTACCGCTATTAAACGACTATATATTAATATTATTACTAATAATAGAGCTCTATATACCGCCCTAGCCTAGGTATACTATAATAGATAAATAGTATTAAGCCCTTACCTTACTACTAAATAGTTATCTAATTATTATTAGGAGTAGGAGGATTTAGCTAGAGTAGTTACGGAGTAGTTATCTAAGCTATATTAACACCTTCCTAATCTAGAGGGCTAGGGTCTTAGTAGAGGCTCTATATAAGGTAGAGGAGGGGTATAAGCCTAGAGGGTATTAGGTAGATTATAGATAAAGGGGTCCTTTCCTTAATTATCTTTAGTTAGAGGGG